AGGGGCTTAGGGCTTAGGGGTTTAAGTGGAGGCTGAGGATCTAGCGGTTTAGGTGGTTTTCGGTGCTAGGGATCTAGCGCGTAGCGTGCTTTAATAGGAATTCAAGAAAAAAGCAAGCCTTACGTACTATTAAGGGGCTCCATAAGGGTTGAAGAGAGGGGTTCTATATGGGTTCCATATGGCTTCATCAAGGCTCTATACCCTAGACCCTAAACCCTANNAAACCTAAACCCTAAAACCTAGACCCTAAAACCTAAACCCTAAACCCTAAACCCCACGGTTTACGAAGATTCGATGCGTAGTAGTAGTTCAAAAGGTTTCTTGAAAGAGCGCAAGCCAGAGAGAGCGTCGAGGGCTTTCTTAACGTCTCTTTCAATTTTTATGGGTGCCTTAATAATTAGAATAGGGCTTTGGGGCCCATTATACTATAGGGAACCCCCAAAATAGTATGGAGGTTTCTATATTAAAGTAACTATGGGTGCAAAGCCTTTTCGTCTTAACAAGTACTCATGGCTTGAGCCATGGCATATTTGGGACATGTCTTAAAATCCACCTGACCAAGTCTCGTGACCCATTCTGTAAATCCTAGGGACTGTTTAGTGTTTGTTTAGGCTTGTTTAGGGTTTAGCTAGGATCTAGGCTTGGGGCGGAGGGATCCCACTTCGGTAGTATCCGGGGCCATTTCTATGCTGAACACAGGGTTTACTGGGTAACATTATGGAGGGCATGCTTTTCAGAGTCGTCTATTATACCCTGAATCCCGCGATGCACCTTTTCGGGAGGCAGCAAGCTGGCCAACGAGTGGAACACCTGCAAGTGTTCCAGGGTTTTGGGCCAAGGGTTTAGCATTCAGATGTCGCTGTATCGCCGAGCTGATAAAAATTGCTCTCAGAAGAGCGACGTGCTCTCCTGAATAGCCCAAAACGAACCACAAATTGTAGAACGACATACGATCTTCAAATACCAATGAAACTCGCAGGGTCTGCCCCAAGCCAGAAACAGACCTTACCGCCCCATCTTACAAAAAAATGAACCCAAGACCCTGCAACTTGCATCATCATAGAGACGAACTACGCGCAGAGCCAATACAAAATTCATGCGGATACGGGAAAAAAAAGGCCTTATAGGGGCCTCAATAATTACCTACATTATTTTGGTGGCTCCTTATTAGAATTATACTATAAACTACATTATTTTGGGGGGCTCCTTATTAGAATTATACTATAAAGGACCCCAAAACCCTGTTCTAATTATTACGGCTCCTATATCAAGGGTTCAGGGCTTCAGCTGAAACGTTTAATCAAGCGTTCTCGTGGTTGCGGTCGCGTTCGCAGTCGCGGCTTGGTCGTTAATATAGGGGCCTAAATAAATACCAATACTATTTTGGGGGTTCGTAATTCTAAAATAGTATAATACAGATCATATATCTTTATTTTTCCCGAAAGCCCTGCTCTAGTTGAGGCCCCTGCATCAAACGTATTGGTTGTCTTGGTCGTCGTGGTCGTGAGTGTCATGGTCGTCATGACGGTCATTAAAGTCATGGTCGTCGTTGTGCTTCACACTGCCTGGGGATCTGCGCTAGCAAGATATGGTTTAGGGTTTAGGGTTTAGGGTTTAGGGTTTAGGGTTTAGGGTTTAGGGTTTAGGGTTTAGGGTAGGGACTGAATTGGTTGGTGGGCAGTTGCACCTCCTTCATAACCTGGTAGGCGATCTAAACAATTCCATCAATGATATCTCTACTTGAACAATATCTACAGGGATTTATAGGCTTGCTTACAAGGTTCAACATTACACGCTCAAAAAGCCAACCCCTAAACACACCAAGCAATTAACCGTGAAGCCTAAAATTCCTGAGCCACAAACCCTAAACCCTAAACCCTAAACCCTAAACCCCCAAAACCCCGAACCCCAAACCGTGCCTCTTTCCGCTTGCCTCCGCAGTTGCTCACGAACCAAAGCAGCAGCATGCTCTTGTTGGCTGCGGAAGGCACCTCCCGGGAGCTGCTGTTAAGGTTTGGAGTTCAGGGTCTAGGGTGGCGATGCCAGTTTAGAGCTTAGGGTTTAGGTTTAGGGTTTAGGGGTTCGTACGGAACGAATATTGTTTAAGATTTGAGGTCGCCTAAGCACACTCACGGTTTTAGGGTTCACTGAAAGGCACCTGACTGCAAGCAACGTCGCTTAAAGATGGTGCGGCTTGGGACTCCCGAAAACTCTAGAACCTAAACCCTAAAAACCATAAACGCCTACGTCCTGAAGCCTACAACGTCTGAAAACTCTAAACCCAAAAAACTGAACCCTAGAAATCCAAAACACCGCGACGCGATTTTTGACATCCTTGGAACGCACCTGGCTCGCAGCAGGAGTAGTAGTAGTAGTA